TATGTGTGTGTGTGTGTAAATATACTTATCCATATATATTGAAGTGAACATTTCCATTCCCCCCTGATGCCTCTGTTCACCTAGCAATATATGGGTAGCCGAGAGTAAGGGCAGCTGCTAAGGGTTACATCCTGGAGTAACAATGCCTCTCTTCGCCTAGCATTATATCAAGCTAGCATCATATCATTATACCCGGGAGTTAGGCAACTGTTGTGGGCTGCATCATAGAGAAGGTCAGCTGTTGGTGGAGGAAATGGTAACAATCTCGGTAGAACTAACAATGTTCCTTGTCTCTCATAATGTGAGTAAGTATACCATATTGGTGAATATAACCACATAGGTGTTACACAGGTGTAAATACCCACCTGTTATTACTCATCGTATCCATATAAGTGAATTTGCCCATATAGGGAAGTTTACCATAAGGCGATTACGCCCATATAGATGAGTATACCCATATGAGTATACCAATATAGTTGAGCGTACCCATATAAGGGAGTATACAGATGGAGAGAATGAACAAGTGTAGAGTTAGTTACGCTAAAAGTCAAAGAGAACGGATTGGTAAAGTTATATGGCTTTACTGTTTACAGTTCTGGCCCAACGCTACACTGTTAAGCTAATTAATGTTGTAATTGGTTCTAAAATGCCTAGGCTACACTACACTTCACTTAGGCTAGCTCTAACTCTTACATATTAACTCCCAAGACCTTCATTGAAAGCCTATTTTTCCAAGATGGATCACTATAATTGTAGCTGAGCTCAGAACGCATTATATTTATATTTTATTAATTTATTTATTTATATATACGGGAGTTCTTACATTCTTGTACAGCCACTAGCACGCCTAGCTTTTCGGGCAGGTTTTTAATCCTAATTTTCCCAGGAATACGAGTCGCCAAATCGTTTAACAACCAATACCTATTCACTGCTGGGTGAACAAAGGCTGGTTAAGGATTAACACCCGGTAAATCCTCCCCGGCCAGGATACGAACCCAAGCCAAAGCTCTCGCGAAACACCCAGGCGAGTGTGTTACCACTTCGCCACGGGAACTGCTGTTAGATGCACAATTTGTACCCAGAGAGACAACAACAGCACTTCCTTGCACCGTGGAAGATTACGATACTAAAAATGATAATCCTTCCCATCCAAGAAGCAAATTAAAGATCAGCTTAAACTTCGCCATGAAGCAAAGTACAATACCGCCCGTCAAATTCAGACCACTTCTTTCAAAGGTCAAATGTGACACATACAAGGGGCAATGGCTTCAAGCTCAAGAACCCCTAACGTATGATAGTTAACAGATGCTTTTTTCATTCATAGGACTATAACCCCATGGAACTGCCTACCCGCCAAATCCGTAAATGCCAAGACATAACTGCGTTCAAAATCCTGTTGGAAAAATTATTCAGGAAGACTGGGGGGGGGGAGGGGGATCTTTGACAAGCCGCCTGTTTCCTGTCCCCGTCGTGGCCACTAGATAAAGGGTGGCCCTCGGGTAAATTCAGGTAAATTGATATGCTACTCTAAGCGGTGCCTCTCTCAAACATATATACACTGATGGTTCCCTACACCACTGGTGCTGCCGTAGTTGTGTTGACAACGAGCGATGATTTACATGTTGAGTCGGGAGCCGTATAAACAACTGGGCCTCTACCCTTCAAACGTTACTGTCTGTCACTCTCCTTGCACTCAACGTCTAAAACTAACACATTAATTGTAAGTGATTCTTCAGTTAGTTCAGTTCATTTATTATGCACCCCATACCCATCTTGTGGGCGGTAGTGGAAAGGGTTACAGAGGCACATAATGGGCTCAGGGACTGAACCCCACAATTCATTTAGCTAAGCAAGTTACAATCTTGATGAGCTAGTTACAAAATTCAATTTCATCATTCTTACTTGCGTTCAATTCATTAAGACACAGTTGTAGCCTAATCGTTTCTGAGGCTAGATACACATCTATGACAAAATTGTTAACGATGTTAACAGTCAATTTCATGTGAGTTCCACCTCGTGTTGGCCTCCTAATGCATGATAGAATTAATGAGTTAGCCAAAGAATATATTTTCAAAGAAATTACATCACAAAATTCCCAGAGGAATAGACAGTGGACAAAGACAAACTATTTAGCATGGGCGAAACACGAACAAGGGGACACAGGTGGAAACTTAGTACCCAAATGAGCCACAGAGACATTAGAAAGATTTATTTTCAGTGTAAGAGTAGTTAACAGGTGGAATGCATTAGGCAGTGATGTGGTGAAGGCTGACTCCATATACAGTTTCAAATGTAGATGTGATAGAGCCCAATAGGCTCCAGAATTTGTACACTTGATTAACGGTTGAGAGGCGGGACCAAAGAGGCAAAACTCAACCACCGCAAGCACAACTAGGCGAGTACTGTAACCATGAATTGCCAGTAAGCAGCTTGAGAATAATAATACACCAAGAACTCCAACTTCGTAGACAAAGTGAAATATACGCTAGCTATACTGCTGCCACACAAGAGCCACCTATCTGTGGATCGTCCAATAAAATAAGGAAGTTCCTGCTCGACTTAGACAATGTTATAAATATCTCTGGAAGTGTGCATTACCAGCCAAAGTAGACCTTACCCATTGTAATCAGCAAAACTATCGACAATGTTTTATAAAAAAGTGAAATTATTTATTTCAAAATGATGTATTACCAGAAATCTAGCCATTATGTATCCCAGACTTGCCTATTGTAGGTACGACAGTTTTTGGCCCTAGGCAAAGTCTACGTCAACATGCAGCGTGCTATAAGAGGACGGGTTGAGTGCTGCACGTCGTCGGGAGACATCTCTGTCACGCAGGGTGCAGTCGCACCTCCACAGATCTCCAGTATCAGCTCTTGATACTGGTAATGGCTCAAAAAGGCCACCACCTATGGGCTATTCATGCCCGTGCCACCTTTTGGGTGGCTTAATCTTCTTCAATCATCAATCATGCTTGACGTGATTGAAAGCTCTCACAGCCTACTGCATGGGTGCGAGGTGCATGAAAGTCAAATTAAAATTATATGTAACTAGCTCACTGCATATGAAAACTGCTTAGCTCAAAGAATATTAAGAGTACAGTACCTGAACCAATTAATTGTGACTAATCTTTCTGCCACTATAGGATGGGTATATGGGGGTCCAAAATAAACTAATTAAACAAAGTTAGTAGTGTTAGGGCCTCTTTGGATCATTATGATGTTAGCTTCATGAATTGTGAATAGAATGTTGATGTGTATGTTTAACAGACTCTGTACCAAGCTCATAAATTAGTTAACTTGCTAATTAAACGAATAAATTGGCGTTCAGAACGTGAAATCATTATCGTGCCTGTGTAGCCTTTTCCACTACCGCTCACCGGAGGGGTTTGGAGTGCATAACAAATGAACTAAACTAACCACTCGTAAGATGGGTAAGGGGTCCACCACACCAGTCAAAGGATGGGCATGGGGTCCACTACCACCCACAGGATGACTATGGGATGCATAATAAATTAGCTAACTTAGAAACAAGTAATGCTTACAAACTTCCCTTCCCACCGTCTTCAACAGTATATACAGCCGTAGACAAGCAGGCATCCTAATAAAATATATTCCACACTTTAATTATATAGGATCGGTTCTGCCTTCATATTTATTCCTTAACTGTATTCGCACGTAGGAAAAAATGTATTTAAATAAGCTACTATTTACATAACTGACACATAAAGTCTATGTATATACGTGACTTCCGCATACGTGTACTATGTATATAAATATGTACGCCAATGACGCAACTTTTCTAATAAGTTAATATAATAAAAACTATACCGATAATCTGTATGTCAAAATTCACGTGTAAAAGCGCTATGACGTGCAAGTAATAGGAAGGAATTACAGTTAACAACTGACAGGAGGCGGATATCATGCTATCCTGGCATGTCATCTCGCTGTGCTGTGATCAATGTCTCCTCCCCAACGCGAAGCCACGCCATTATACGTGATTATACTGACCGGCCGTAGAGATTATACCCATGATAGCACATCACCCTTCTGTTTGTACCGACAAAATGAGGGTAATTTAGATCGCAGCTTCCTGTCGACGTGCACATGTGTGTATGTGTGTGTGTGTCTGATCTTTGCCCTTGTGAATATGAAGTTAAAAATACATACTTATTACCAAGCGGTATTCAACGTGTTGTCATAATCACGCTATTGCGCGTTAAAAAGCTGTTATATACGAGCAAAATGGGTCGTGTGAGCGATAATAAGCAGGTCCCCGTATGCACTCGACGGTCAAGAACAAACACACACACACATTTCCCCAAGCCATTGTTCACTGACATGCCCAAAGTTGCTTCATTCTCCCCGTTGCAGTATCCAAAACAAGGAAGACAATTAATATACATGGGTCGTGCCCACGACTGTGCGTACGGAAGAGGCATTACAGCGAAGCAAGAGCCGTCGTGGGGGTTAAATAACACCGACAAAACACGAAATTTGGTTACTTTTCTTATGCTTCACAGGACGCAGCGTCGCCAAGGCCTCTCACTCTAGCCCATTTAAGGTAGACAGGCGCCATTATCCCCCACTTCCCACAACATTCCACCCTTTCACTCCATCTACGACTAAATAAACCCCGTATTTTCAGCCTAATCTATCGTCTGAGACGCGAGGTGAGCCCAGTGGGGTGATTTTTGCAATTATAAATGGGCTTCAATCGCGGGCTGGTGTCGTGGGTTGGCTGGTGGGAGATCGAAGCGACGAGGGAGGGCGAGCGGGGGTGCCGTAAGGGCGAGAGTCGCGGCCTGGCGGGCAGGAAAGCCGACCTTATGGCCGGCGCGGCGGGGAGTGCTCGGCAAGGAGGCCCCTCAGTACACGATTGTGATGATGGCGGACGGACGCGCGTCGCTACCAGCTCCTCTCCCAAGATAACTTATCGCTCTCCCAGGTGCGTGAGGTGTTATCAGGGCCACGCCACGGCCTCGAAGTGGAGGTGCGAGGGAGGGAGAGTGTGAGTGCGGGGGGAGAGAGGGAGTGGTGGAGAGTGGTGTTGGCGGCGGTCCACCAGTCCTCACCAAGAGTGAGCTTGGGCGGTCACGGCGCACCGCCACTCACACTTTCCTCTCACTAATGGCTACCTCATGCACCACCCACCCATGCCCAGGCCATATTGTAGCATTTGCCGCCGCTTGAACCATCCCCGGCGGCCGCTGTGGCTGAGGTAAGGTGGTGCAGCAGCCGCCCCACACGGCGGCAGCCTGGCAGGTGGTGGTCAATGGTGGTGATTGTGGTAGTGGTGGTGGTGATCAGATGGTCAAGTAGGCGGCGGGGGGGTGAGCAGGAGGGGGGTAGACGGCGCTGATCCTCTTGACAGTCCAGTCAGTTTTCCAGGCTTGACAGTTGCCGTCTCGTAGTTGACCGCCTCGAAGGTTTCCTGTCAGTCTTTGTGTCTGTCGCTCCCGTCTGTGGGGGGATTAATTAGCACCAAAAGTGTGTTATTGCTTCCTCGTGTACACTCTTGACAGTTGATAGTCTCACCAGTTAACTGTCAGTCTGTTTCTCTCAAGGCTTTACTTGTGGGACATTAGTTAAAAATGATTGTGTAATTTGAATGGGTTTCTATATGCATGATCTTCACTATACTTGCTATGATTGTAGGATAATAAGTACTTGCCTTGTAATGTCAATTGTTTTTGTATAAATTTGGTTATAGTTATATTATATATACTTGTTATACTATATAGTTATACTATACTAATTGTTTTTTTATAAATTTGGTTATAGTTATACTGTTTATAAAACATAATTTAAAGCATTAACAGTTAAAATCACCTAAATCACTGGCTGCCTTTAGCCGAGTCCTAAGGTAGTTTGTAATTTTGATTTTATTTTAATAGATATTTAGATTCTAATATTTAATCTTTCATTACAATTTCTGTATTAACTATTAAAATTTATATGTTAAAGAAGGAAAATATTGAACAAATTCTTTATTTATTTATTCTAGCCATGTTAAATGTTATATTGTTTTATTTAACATTTATGAAATGTATCTAATATTTCTTCTGTTTCAGTTGTTATTTTTTTAATACTGTGGTTGACTGCCTGTACCTTGATGTACTCATTTTAAATTGATGTACACTTAAAAGTTAATTGGGAAATCTTGTACATTTATTAGTACAATTTAGGTTATATATTTTGTTAAGAAGTTGCTTTATAAATGGTAATATTTATATTTTATAAATATATTTACAATATATATTATATATATATTATTATATTGCACACTTGTGTTCACTCCGTGGCCTGGACAGTTTGTTGTGTTCACTCCGTGGCCTGGACAGTTTGTTGTGTTCACTCCGTGGCCTGGACAGTTTGTGGTGTTCACTCCATGGCCTGGACAGTTTGTGGTGGTCACCCCGTGGCCTGGACAGTTTGTTGTGTTCACTCCGTGGCCTGGACAGTTTGTTGTGTTCACTCCGTGGCCTGGACAGTTTGTTGTGTTCACTCCGTGGCCTGGACAGTTTGTGGTGGTCACCCGTGGCCTGGACAGTTTGTTGTGTTCACTCCGTGGCCTGGACAGTTTGTGACACAGTTTGTGGTGGTCACCCGTGGCCTGGACAGTTTGTTGTGTTCACTCCGTGGCCTGGACAGTTTGTGGTGGTCACTCCGTGGCCTGGACAGTTTGTGGTGGTCACCCCGTGGCCTGGACAGTTTGTGGTGGTCACCCCGTGGCCTGGACAGTTTGTGGTGGTCACCCCGTGGCCTGGACAGTTTGTGGTGGTCACCCCGTGGCCTGGACAGTTTGTGGTGGTCACCCCGTGGCCTGGACAGTTTGTGGTGGTCACCCCGTGGCCTGGACAGTTTGTGGTGGTCACCCCGTGGCCTGGACAGTTTGTGGTGGTCACCCCGTGGCCTGGACAGTTTGTGGTGGTCACCCCGTGGCCTGGACAGTTTGTGGTGGTCACCCGTGGCCTGGACAGTTTGTGCACCCCGTGGCCTGGACAGTTTGTGGTGGTCACCCCGTGGCCTGGACAGTTTGTGGTGGTCACCCCGTGGCCTGGACAGTTTGTGGTGGTCACCCCGTGGCCTGGACAGTTTGTGGTGGTCACCCCGTGGCCTGGACAGTTTGTGGTGGTCACCCCGGTGGCCTGGACAGTTTGTGGTGGTCACCCCGTGGCCTGGACAGTTTGTGGTGGTCACCCCGTGGCCTGGACAGTTTGTGGTGGTCACCCCGTGGCCTGGACAGTTTGTGGTGGTCACCCCGTGGCCTGGACAGTTTGTGGTGGTCACCCCGTGGCCTGGACAGTTTGTGGTGGTCACCCCGTGGCCTGGACAGTTTGTGGTGGTCACCCCGTGGCCTGGACAGTTTGTGGTGGTCACCCCGTGGCCTGGACAGTTTGTGGTGGTCACCCCGTGGCCTGGACAGTTTGTGGTGGTCACCCCGTGGCCTGGACAGTTTGTGGTGGTCACCCCGTGGCCTGGACAGTTTGTGGTGGTCACCCCGTGGCCTGGACAGTTTGTGGTGGTCACCCCGTGGCCTGGACAGTTTGTGGTGGTCACCCCGTGGCCTGGACAGTTTGTGGTGGTCACCCCGTGGCCTGGACAGTTTGTGGTGGTCACCCCGTGGCCTGGACAGTTTGTGGTGGTCACCCCGTGGCCTGGACAGTTTGTGGTGGTCACCCCGTGGCCTGGACAGTTTGTGGTGGTCACCCCGTGGCCTGGACAGTTTGTGGTGGTCACCCCGTGGCCTGGACAGTTTGTGGTGGTCACCCCGGACAGTTTGTGGTGGTCCTGGACAGTTTGTGGTGGTCACCCCGTGGCCTGGACAGTTTGTGGTGGTCACCCCGTGGCCTGGACAGTTTGTGGTGGTCACCCCGTGGCCTGGACAGTTTGTGGTGGTCACCCCGTGGCCTGGACAGTTTGTGGTGGTCACCCCGTGGCCTGGACAGTTTGTGGTGGTCACCCCGTGGCCTGGACAGTTTGTGGTGGTCACCCCGTGGCCTGGACAGTTTGTGGTGGTCACCCCGTGGCCTGGACAGTTTGTGGTGGTCACCCCGTGGCCTGGACAGTTTGTGGTGGTCACCCCGTGGCCTGGACAGTTTGTGGTGGTCACCCCGTGGCCTGGACAGTTTGTGGTGGTCACCCCGTGGCCTGGACAGTTTGTGGTGGTCACCCCGTGGCCTGGACAGTTTGTGGTGGTCACCCCGTGGCCTGGACAGTTTGTGGTGGTCACCCCGTGGCCTGGACAGTTTGTGGTGGTCACCCCGTGGCCTGGACAGTTTGTGGTGGTCACCCCGTGGCCTGGACAGTTTGTGGTGGTCACCCCGTGGCCTGGACAGTTTGTGGTGGTCACCCCGTGGCCTGGACAGTTTGTGGTGGTCACCCCGTGGCCTGGACAGTTTGTGGTGGTCACCCCGTGGCCTGGACAGTTTGTGGTGGTCACCCCGTGGCCTGGACAGTTTGTGGTGGTCACCCCGTGGCCTGGACAGTTTGTGGTGGTCACCCCGTGGCCTGGACAGTTTGTGGTGGTCACCCCGTGGCCTGGACAGTTTGTGGTGGTCACCCCGTGGCCTGGACAGTTTGTGGTGGTCACCCCGTGGCCTGGACAGTTTGTGGTGGTCACCCCGTGGCCTGGACAGTTTGTGGTGGTCACCCCGTGGCCTGGACAGTTTGTGGTGGTCACCCCGTGGCCTGGACAGTTTGTGGTGGTCACCCCGTGGCCTGGACAGTTTGTGGTGGTCACCCCGTGGCCTGGACAGTTTGTGGTGGTCACCCCGTGGCCTGGACAGTTTGTGGTGGTCACCCCGTGGCCTGGACAGTTTGTGGTGGTCACCCCGTGGCCTGGACAGCTTGTGGTGGTCACCCCGTGGCCTGGACAGCTTGTGGTGGTCACCCCGTGGCCTGGACAGCTTGTGGTGGTCACCCCGTGGCCTGGACAGCTTGTGGTGGTCACCCCGTGGCCTGGACAGCTTGTGGTGGTCACCCCGTGGCCTGGACAGCTTGTGGTGGTCACCCCGTGGCCTGGACAGTTTGTGGTGGTCACCCCGTGGCCTGGACAGCTTGTGGTGGTCACCCCGTGGCCTGGACAGCTTGTGGTGGTCACCCCGTGGCCTGGACAGCTTGTGGTGGTCACCCCGTGGCCTGGACAGCTTGTGGTGGTCACCCCGTGGCCTGGACAGCTTGTGGTGGTCACCCCGTGGCCTGGACAGCTTGTGGTGGTCACCCCGTGGCCTGGACAGCTTGTGGTGGTCACCCCGTGGCCTGGACAGTTTGTGGTGGTCACCCCGTGGCCTGGACAGTTTGTGGTGGTCACCCCGTGGCCTGGACAGTTTGTGGTGGTCACCCCGTGGCCTGGACAGTTTGTGGTGGTCACCCCGTGGCCTGGACAGCTTGTGGTGGTCACCCCGTGGCCTGGACAGCTTGGGGTGGTCACCCCGTGGCCTGGACAGCTTGGGGTGGTCACCCCGTGGCCTGGACAGCTTGGGGTGGTCACCCCGTGGCCTGGACAGTTCTTTTGTTTATGCCAAAGTACATAAGAGATACTTCCAGTAATCCAGCAAATACAAAAAAACTAAATAAAAAATTGGGATTTTATATACTGTATTCTTTTCTGAATAGAATGAAACAAATATATTGTTTTGATGACTTGTCATGTAAATGTTTAACATTGTACCCATAAATTTTCATAGTTCTGGTAAGCAATAGCAACAGAATTAATAGTACAGTACTGTATATTGAAATGAATAATTTTTTTGTTATGCATTTTGGTATCAGTACAGTAATTATTTTACTCTTTAGGATATGATTCTTGTGGGTAAAGATTTAGCATCGATGATTTGAGTTAAAAATATATATAGAAATTAAGTAGATATTTGCAGTTATTATCATGAATATATTCTGCAGAAGAATAGCAAATATTGCAGTACTATAATAGTTTAGAAGTGTTTTCAGAGTTGAAACAAGAGGAGACAAAATTATGTCTGCATATTCAGCAATGCAGGACATAGAAGTAGTTTGTAAATTCTACATGCAAAATATGGACATTTTTTTATTTATTTTTTTTTTTTTTTTTAGTGAAAGTAATAGGCAAAGTGGTTTAACTAGACAAGTGGTCTTATTATTAATAATAGCAGGGCTTTTGAAAAGTTGGCTGTGTTGTGGTTGTCACTACTGTATATTGAGCTCATTGGTGGCATTCTGGTTTTCCTTGCTGTTGATGTTACTGTATTTTGAACTTCAATCATTGAAATTAAGAATTTATCTGCACTTTGATACTACTATAATTCTTTATGTATTTTGTTTATAATAACTAGGTATTAAAACACAAAGTAAAGATTGTCATTTGGTTTCCAGACTGAAGATTATTTGTTATTGGGTTTCCAGACTAAAATAATTCGCGTCCTTTAATTCTTCCTGCTGATATCAGAGTAGATGGTGTCACTTGTAATTTGCATTTGGCCAGCAACTGATTGGGGTGATTGCACAGAGCACCTTGCCCTTGACCAATGGGACCTAAACAAGTTGAGCACTGCTATATCATACCATGCCTTGCTTCTAAACTTTATAGAAATTAGCAATATTTATATTGAATTATAAAGAAATATGAAGATCCCGGCCTCAAATTTCTAATTCCTTATAATGGGCAGCTACAGCCTCCATTTTGTTTTGCCACTGTTCAAAGTCTTGCATGTAATACATCTGCATTTGGAATTGTAACATCTTGTATTTGCACTGAACTGTCATCTTTCCATGAGGCTATCACCCCTTTAAATATGTTTATAATACACATTTTAGATGCAAGTAAAAGTTTGTAGTTGCCAATGGACTTGACAAGTTCCAGTGAGTAGAGACCCTTAAGCCATGTGGGCAGTACGCTATTACTACAATTTATGTAACGAGGTTTAACGCCTTGTAACAAGCAGAATACGCTGGTTATTTCATAGTGCTGTGAGCACAGCCTTGTGGTGCTTGATATTGTCGTATGCTCCATAATCTACTTAAGACAGTACAGGATTTATACATTATCTAGTACAGTAAATATAGTTATTTGCTTTTGCAAAGGTTTGGACTCAAAACTAAGCACTTCAGTTCCTGAAGAAAACTACTTAAGCCTCTGTTGCTACTATGATAAAGATTCACAAAAACTCTGCAGGAAGGTATGGGATACTAACTGTAAATATATCATATACTAAAATCATATAAATTTAATAAAACTATAGTTACACTGGTAATTACTGATGTTTGGTCATAGCTGTGATACAAAACATGTGAATTACCAGTGCCAGGATACTTAACAATAGTACTTGTTTGTTTTTATACTAGAACATCTAGGAGAGCAATGGTGAGTATTGTATAATATGTCATGAGCAGAAGTCACTTTGTTGAAACATCATTTTCCACTGATTTTGATTACAGTATTTTCAGACATTATATTGAATATTTTTAGTATGATGTACCATAATAAATTGCAGTATTTCATTCCCATTTTTTCTTTGTGGTACACAATACTTTTATGCATTAAAAATTTAACTGTCTACCAAAACAATTTTATAATCAGATTTGGTATTACAGATTCAGGTGATAGCTGTCACATTATATGCAATAAGATGTCGGAATTAAAGCCCATGGAAGATGACTTGACACCACTTACACAAGACACAGTTGCGGAAGAGGATGATAATCTTAGCGATATGGGCTCCCATACGGGGAGTGAACGTGATGCAATGTCGGAAGCAGGTTCGGAAACGCCATCCATCTCGGATAAATCGAGTCACCGCAATTCCCGTTCTGCGTCCAACACTCCAACCAATACGAGATCCACCCGAAGTCGAGACAACCCAGAGTTTGCAGCCAAACAAAAGTCATTCATGGCAAAAGTTCAAGCAGCGACGGCTGGAACCGAAAGTGGAATGGTGAGACCCGAGACGCCGGGAAAGAGAAAGAGAGACAGTAGCTCTCAGGGATCGGCCAAGAAGAGAAAATCTGGAAAAGTGGATAATAATGGCCAGGTGAGTAAAGAACATGATTGGAATTTTACATTGTATACAGTAATGCATCCTATTAGAAGGGATGTTGATTTTATATTATAAATGGTGTGTGTGTGTGTGTGTGTCCCTGGGAATGAGGCGTATTTTAAATGAGGATCAAGTGTTTTACTTGATTTTATGTGGCATGGTCTGTTAGTTTAGATTTCAGCAGTGCAATTTGTAAGGCGTTTTGGTACTCTGATCTGTTGGTTGTATTAAGATGTAGTTAGGCAGTATGAACATTGCTTTCATATTAATGTGGAGGTGGTATGGGTTCATGATAAATGAATTTAAGAAAAAAGAATTGCACAACATGAAATGCATTATTCCACTGCACCACGGATGTAGTTTATTACCAGTTATTGAATACCTTGGCATCTGTCCAGTAAGCTGGTACTGTGTTATGATTTAAACCCTTTAAGGGCTTGGTTATTCTGGGAGGAGTAAACTACTGTAGTAATGGTTTATGCTTAAAATCTCCCATGGCATTCCGACAATGCAGGCATGTTAGCCTCTGTCGCTGTATTAAAAAGTGAAAAAGCGTGTTCTTGTCTTTGGATATGTTGTGTTAATGTGCTTCTAAAATAATCGTTTCATCCATAAATATTTTGTGGCATATAACCATCAGCTTCCATAACTTTTAATCCCTTGGTAAGACAGCTGTTGCTGCTGTCAATGCTGCTAGCTTTCCTTATAACCTTGCGTTTGGTAAACTTGTGAAACCAGCTCGTACTTGCTAGGAAAGATAACTTGTAATGCAAGTATCGTGAATCTTTTGAATATTTGAACAGATCACACTGAATCTGCTAGAATCACTTACTGATATTTTTTTTGTTTATCTTCCACATAGATTGCCAATATGTATATTTTAAAGTTCTTCAATCAAAGGATTACACTCATGATGTCACCATAACATTTAGTAAACTTGACCTAACCTTTCTCTCTTTAAGTTTGGCAGCACTTTTAATCTTGCAAATGCTAGGTTTGTTCGCATTATACACACTAATAAGGGATGCATTGGATATTAATACATGTTCTTGGATGCAAGTTGGTGTGCAACAGATTTTTAGGTTGTTTAGGAGATACTATTGTGCAGGAATTTAATCCAGAAAATGGGCAAAATAATAGGAGGGAAGGGGCTTAAAGTTTAGGTGAGCTATGAGTGTCGGTGAACTTGGTCATGTGGACTGTGAACACGTAAGCAACATGTTCCATACACTGCTTAATGCTGCTGTCTTGTACTGCATGTGTGTACCAAGTTGCCATATACCAATTTTACAAAACTGCTTCTACCTCTTATGCATAATGAAATCATGTAATAAGCTGAACAAATGCAGAAGTCTGCATTTCAGCATCATACAAATCAATGGCTATCTGTAAAAACGAAGTAATGTAACTCATTGATCTTCTGTATGGAAAAAAACCAAAAAAAATAGATGACTACATGCATTCTGGGCACTATTTATCCAGATATGCCAGTTATTTGTTTTTTTTTGTTATTTGATTAAAACAAATGATGAAATGGTAAGGTAAGCAGGTGGTCCAAATAAAAATGTGTAATAAAGTGGATGGGCCTAAGTTTCCCAGTGATTGTACTGGGCATCACCTACCAGTGTGATGTCATAAGCCCATAACCTATCGTTTTTGATTTGTAATGAGGCATTTGGAGCAGTCATTCCTGTGACTTCATTTGTATATGCAAAATTTAGGAACATCTGCACTCCTTATCAGCTTCAAATGCAGGCATTTTGCTAGGGGAAAGCTTCTAAAAGTGAGAAGACTATAGAAAAATATTAGTGCTGACATTTGAAAAGAAAATTGAACTTAAGAAGGTGGAGAGTAGGATCTCGGTGTTGAATGTGCTGAATGTCAAGTGAGCAAGACTAATCTTTTAAACACTATTAAGGCTAAATCTGACTTTTTATATAGAAGTAAAAGTGATAAAGCAATACATAATAGAAAAGTAGTGAGCAGAGCCAAGATATGAAGTGTTGATAATTCTGTGTAGGCATTATACAAGCACTTCAACATCTTAAGGTGCCTCGTCACTATCAATCTCCACTTGGTCAACTCGACACCATTAACATCTACCATCTCTAGTAGGCATCTATCAGTCTCGGGAGACTGTGGAGTTACGCTCTGGTTGTTGGTCTGGAGTGGCCTCTCCAGTGTGCAAAGCCAGGGTAGGTTGATACGGGGAAGAAGCTGTCATCCATGCAGCAGGTCCCCCCTCTCCATGGCACTGAAAGTCTCCAATGGAAAGGCAAACGCCAATATGATTGATTCGAGCGCCGTCGCAGTAATTGTCAGAATGAGGTTGAAGGCAACAAGGAACTGCCCTAGGGTCTCCAGCTCTGGAGTTTACCTCAAAGTTGATAACAGAAGGCACTGAGACTCCAAACCCTCCACCATCTAAATAACCAGTCACCATCAACAGTAATCTTCAGCATAATAAGTTTATCAGAACTTCTCATATTGGTGAGTAAAAAGTACGGTGGTACCTTTGTTTACGATAGTAATCCATTCCCAGAGACACGTCATCATCCAAAAATTTGTCATCCAAAACAAATTTTCCCGTAAGAAATACAGTAGTGTAAATTTAATTAATCCATTCCACACCTCCAAAAATATTAACTTAAAAATACATTTTATACCAAATAACACTACAATAGAGTACTGTATGTTTATCTTGCCTTCAATAAGGACTCTTGTTGGCGTATGGAAGATGACGACGACGATGAGGAGGAGGAGGAGATGTGTTAGTGTTTGGAAGGGGAGTCCCCTTCCGTTATAACATCAAGCAGTTATGACTTTTCTGGGGTACACTCTCCTATGTTTTGCCTGCATACCACTAAGACCTGCTTGTGGCTCACTACTTGTTTTTCTCACTAAAAACCTGTCTAGTGACACTTGTTTTTCCCAAAGTTTTAACACTTGTCTGTAGTGAGACATCACATTCTCACTATGAATGATCTCTTGTTTTTTCCTTTTTTTTTTTTTATCGTCATCCTCACAACTATTTTCTTAGGTTGAACTTTACCACTGACTTTCTTGGGACCCATGGCGTGATATATAATAAGAACTTTGTTAAAAAGCAAAAAAAGCAGGCAAACAATGATATTTTTCACAAATGAATTCAAGCACGGCCGCGTTCATCACTTCATGGAATACACATTGGCAAACAGTGCCTCAGCGCGCCCCAGTCCCACGTGCTTGTTAGACCCATACGTTTACGAACAGACGTCGTGTTCTAAGTAAACCGTCTTCCAATTCAAATTTTACAATGAATTTGACGTCTTATTCCAAAAAAAATAGTCTTTTAGGGCAGTTGTCAATCGAGGTTCCACTATGTACTGTTAAATTTTTTGCCTAGGTTTTTAGGATGATGAACCACTTATCTGTAAACTGACAATACTGTAGAGTATCTTGTTGTTTCTTAACATATTAGTGGGTAAATTTAATGTATTCATTAGATATGAACTAGGCTCTTGGATGAACTAGGTACTAAGGTAGGAACAGGATTATCTGCTGGTACTGTATATTAGGTAGAAAAATATAACTTTGTATGGTCAAGTCTATGGTTACTGGATGTTTTAAGAAAGTTAATGATACAGTGGACCAAAAATGGATTAGACGCAGTTTATTGGGAAAGTTTATGGGGTCATTCCATGCCACATCATCATGGCCCCCAACCTAACCATCTCAGATTTATTTACATGCAGTTTGGCAAGATGTTGGAGGACATCAAGTAACATACATGTGCACAATTTTAGTCCTCAGTGATGTGCACTATTCATACAGCAGAGGTTACTATTGTGAAAAAATACACCATTATTGCTTAAAAGCTCCAAAAAAATTCGTAAATTTGCTTCTAATTAAAGCAAATTTTAAAACAAGTTGGGCTTGTTTTGAAGCTAGGGGAATATTGTTTTCAATAAAAATAGTTTTACATCATACTGTATTGAATTTTATTTAAAGATCATATAACATGACCTCTGACCTTGAATAAATAAAAAAGTGGGTCTTCATTTATTTTTTTTTTTTAGGGGGGAAGGGGGAATATTATAGTTAAATGCATTCTCTCTTTGGTATGTTTCATCCACTGCTTTGGGAATGGGAATAAACAAAATGATAGTGTATAGATATGTGTGTGTAGTAGTAAAGCACTTCTTGCACCAGACATGCATCAGGAAAGATATAGTGTATAGGTGTGTGTGTGTGTGTGTAGTAGTAAAGCACTTCTTGCACCAGACATGCATCAGGAAAGGTATAATAGGTGTGTGTGTGTGTGTGTGTGTGTAGTAGTAAAGCACTTCTTGCACCAGACATGCATCAGGAAAGATATAGTGTATAGGTGTGTGTGTGTGTGTGTGTGATACTAGTCTGGTGCAAATGTCCTACCATCCCCCCCCCCCTTTTTTTTTTCGAGAGAGAGAAATTAAGCATTTTATCTATTCTCAAAATAATTCAAATGGTGTAAATGTTTGTTTATATTATGATCATCACAGGTATCAAATGGATATTTTGTAAATTATCGCAAAATCTTTTGTAATATTTGTTTCGTCACTAATCCAGAGTCGGGTTACTTGTACTTATTATGATGCTTCAATGCAGGATGTTACTAAAGTATTACATCACAGGTTGCACAATAATGACGATCCTGAACACTTGTATTATACTCAATAACTGTATGAATGATTGTGTGAAATGATCAGCAGGTGAATTTGTCTGACTAACCCTAATTAATGTTGACATGTTTACATTAGAGATTTCCAGTCAGATACTGGCATCTTGCCTCCAGACACTATTGGCTGCTCCCTCATTGCTTATGTGCGTTCAAGGTGTGCACCCTCGGACATCTGCCCATACACTAGAGAAATCCACCCATCCCCAACATCATGGGGATAAGTGGGTGGAAGAGTATATTTTAATTGTAATTAATTATGACCCCCCCTGCTTGAGGAGGTATTCCCTAAATCCTATATAATGATCCAATCAGGTAGCTATGATCAGATAATTGTGTGGTCTTGTGAGATACTACTAGCAATAATGTCATTTATCAGAAGAGTTAAAATGCTCTCAAAGCCAGCCAAATATAAACCATCTTAAGGTGGTCTCTGGGCTAAGGACACAAGAATGCTACCGAGCTTTTGTACAGTAAAGGATATTTCAACTAGAATTTGCAGTACTCCTGTGATGCAGTACAGCACCAGAGATAAGAGCATCAGCTGTGACGCAGCACAGCGCCAGAGATAAGAGCATCAGCTGTGATGCAGTACAGCACCAGAGATAAGAGCATCAGCTGTGATGCAGTACAGCACCAGAGATAAAAGCATCAGCTGTGATGCAGTACAGCACCAGAGATAAAAGCATCAGCTGTGACGCAGTACAGCACCAGAGATAAGAGCATCAGCTGTGACGCAGCACAGCACCAGAGATAAAAGCATCAGCTGTGATGCAGTACAGCACCAGAGATAAAAGCATCAGCTGTGACGCAGTACAGCACCAGAGATAAAAGCATCAGCTGTGACGCAGTGCACTTCCCCGTATAAAAGCCTGGGCTGTAACTTGGCATGAACACCAAAATAGTAGGTAACTGGCCTCAGGCCAGGGGCCTGACAGCTGAGTGGACAGTGCTCGGGATTCGTAGTTCTGAGGATCCGGTATCGATCTCTGGTGGAGGTGGAAAGAGGATCCGGTATCGATCTCTGGTGGAGGTGGAAACAAATGGGCAGGGTTTCTTTCACCCTGATGATCCTGTTCACCTAGCAGTAAATAGGTACCTGGGAGTTAGACAGCCGCTATGGGCTGCTTCCTGGGGGTGTGTAACAAAAAGGAGGCCTGGTCGAGGACCGGGTCGCGGGGACACTAAGCCCTGAAATCGTCTGAAGATAACCTCAAGATAGGCCAAGAGTTTTGCCCTTGTTGCCTGTTCTATAAGGAAAAGATTGTCTTGACAATTGACAGACTGCCTGATATTATCTTCTACCATAACACCATGGTCAGTGGTGCTATATAAACACAAACATCCTTCTAACCTTTGGGTTTGATTTTGAATCTTTGGGCAGTTTTCTAACAGAGACAAACTAGAGGAAATAAGGCTTTGCTCCAATAGGACCACAAAGCTTATTCCCAGAGGATTATAAGACAGTCTGTGTCCTATCCTTCAATTAAAATAGGGCTAGATTAAACTGAGCTGAAAGTGTTGACAACTGTGTAAAGAAACGTTAAGTCTAGAGTAGATTACATCATAAATAAATTTTTTATCTCTAATAGCTTTACCAAATCACTGGGCTAAGGGAAGGTAAATATTGGAAGACAATGCTAAGCCTGTATGAATATTGAAAGTGATGGCAGGACAAGGAGCTGAGGTTAGTTACTATTCCAACCAGTACTGTACAACTCGATACTCGGGCTAGCTGCTTATAAGAGGAAAAAATTGAGGCAAAGGTGGAAGTGGGGTAAAAAAGGTGAAGGTTTAAGCAGTACGTAATTCCTTATATACATAATGTCTCGTTCTTCTTGTTTCACACTATTGCCTTACTTTCTCTTCCTATGGCAAGGAATTAGTCCTATGTACTTCTTAGACTTGTATAGATCTTAGTGTGCATTGTTACCTTCAATAAGGTTTACAGTCAGTTTCTCCATTTTATAAGAGCCATTTAAAACTTATACTTGACTTCACTCATCAAATACAATATTAAAAAATTCTTCACTTACATATTACACTGCTTTTAAGACATTAGATGACCCCTTGCAATACTCCCATACAACTGGGTAAAGTCACTCTTTACCATTTATACAACATTTATATTGTTACACACATTTAAAAACATACTTCCAGTGCTTAGTTCATATTATATGACCCAATTCACACAGTATTTAGTCCATATCCCAGAATCTAGTTTGCTTCCTGATAGTTTGTCCCAGGTAACGCTGGGTTCATTCTCGACTCGCAGTTGGGAATTCCGGGTTCATATCCCAGGCAGGACGGAAATGGTTGGGGGTGTTTCCTATCACCTAATGACAGTAAATAGGTATCCAGGAGTTAGTCAGATTGTGGGGCTGCATCCTGGGGAGAGTCAGTAGTTCGATCTTGGGATGGGGGGGGGACATTCATACAAGTCTAACGTGTATATATATACACAGGTTACCTGTCCCCCGACACAGTGAATTATTATTATATCCAGACAGACACTGCAAAAAAAAAAAAAAAAACCCCAGGATGACTTGTACAAGTTGTTAAAATTAAACTATAAAAAAGAAAGGAACTTCATTTATATTGTTCTTCAATAACATTTTAAAGCATGAAAGAGATCTAATGAAATTGTAATAATATATATTATAACATTTGATATGCCACGATTACATGATTGTACAGTACAGTATATGGGGAAATGTGTGCTGTATCTTGCTGTATATATTTATATATGTACTGTGTATATATATAAATAATAATAAATAAATAAATAAATGTTTATTCAGGTAAGGTACATACAAGAGATTTTACAAAAATTGATAGATTTATATAGATAAGATCCTCAATACACATTCTTGCTCCATTCGTTACATATGTGGTTCCTTAGGAGTATTTCTTGCAGATGAATCCTCACATTAAAGAGGAAAGGAAAACATTTTGGGATGTCAAACTATTTCTAATTTGTAGTAAAGGAATATGGCAGTTTTGAATGAGGTGAGGAATGGTGAAGCTTTCCAACAGTCATGGCAGGTAGTATAGATTTTGTAAACTCCGTGCAGAAACTTTGGATTCCTCTTGAATGCAGCATTTAAGAGCAGCAATGGTTGAAGCTAATGTGACCACATTTTCCTATGTACAGTATATGTTATGTGAAGATTGTTGATGTGTTGCCAAGTACATGTCACCAGTTGAATAGTCTCGTCATCTTTAGATATTTGGAATTATCATTTTTTTCTTAAATGATCTATACTGCTTGTATCTTCACTTTAAGCTTCACCCAAGATCTTCCTGTGTGCATAATCTTAAATCTGTTAAGCTGAAGTACCTGTGTTGTGATGGATATGTGGCCTGGTGGGCTGTAGCAAGCAACAGCTTGACAGGTCCAATTATACCCCGAAAAAAAAAGCCAGGGCCCCCTTTAGCTGGGCTTCAGGACTAAATAACTTTAAACTGGCTATTGGTAAATTGGCCTTGTACTCAGCCACAGCTAAACTGTCCTTGTTCTCCCTTGTACTCAGCCACAGCTAAACTGCCCTTGTTCTCCCTTGTACTTGGCTAAAGATAAACTGTCAAAGCGTCTCGAGCAAAATCTGCTTATCACAAATCCAACACGTGCAGTACGCTGGTGGGTAAACCACTGGAACACGGCTAGTGTCCTTATGTTTAGGTTGACAGTTTGCCTTTTTGAAAGTTCTAGCATCAATGTTGCCTCTATTAACAGAAAATTTAAATATTTTTTGTATCATGCTTTCTTGTACTTAAAATACCTAGTGGGCATAATATTCAAAACATCATCAATTCAATGCCAAATCAACATCATCAGTGTTATTTCAACGTTGAATTGATATTGATTTTGTTGAATTGATGCCACTGTTGAATATTATGCCCATTGGGTTAATGTTTATCCCAGTGCCAATCTTTCTTGCCATGCCAGCTACACTAGCCCCATGCTCAAGTTTTTAAGTGGGTTTGTATTTTGACAATAGCTAGCTTCTTCCTTTTCTTCATCATGCAGTATAAAATCCTCCTGCTACAAATTTCCCAATCATGATTTCACAATCAATTTGTGAATTGCTCCATTCTGAGCAATTTAGGGGAGCAGAGCAAAGTGAACAGGCAATACCAGGTCACTAGAACCTCTGCCTTGCAGCATTGTGTGGAGAAGCCTGATAGCCAAGGCAAGAGTTCTGGGTTAATCATACTCTAACCTGTTCCAAACCAAAGACAAGGATTGGCGAGAGACGTCTGTGATCGGATACAAAATACTTAACCTCCAAGACCAGTTAAGATTGTTTTGGGGGTTTTCTTACTGTGTTGTGCCATCTGGTGGCAGTTATGGGTAGTGACTAAGAGGTCAATTTGGTAGTTGATTAGGGCTCTGCTTGGCAGTCATTGTGATGCCAAGTTGTGCCTGGAAAGGCTTAGTTTTATATAACTTTATTAATAATTATTATTCAAACAAGGTGTTCTATTGAGGAATATGGACCTTTTAGAGGCCTGGAATGTAATCTTATTTTAAACATTTACATTGAAGATGGATTTTTTTTTAAAATAGGCTGTACTAGCACTAACTTATACTCAGTTTTATAAGGCCTACCTGTATTGTACTGTACTATGTGAAAAAAAGGCATAACCTTTTGCAGTTCTATATTCTTAAATTTGTTACAGCTTCATTTCTGATCCATTGAAATAATGTCCCGTGAAGTGTGTGTGTGTGTGTGTGTGTGTGTGTGTGTGTGTGTGTGTGTGTGTGTGTGTGTGTGCACATTAGCAAGACTATCAACATTTGCACTGGGTTGGTGTAAATGTTTTGTCAAATGCATCATCAAAAACTGGTTCTCACAAGAGGCCTTAATACTGGTTTAAAACTTGGGTTCAGTTTATTTCTTAATTTCCTAGTAAGATGTCCACGATAAGTCAATAGCTTTAGTTGACTTTTCTAGCATAAAAGATTAATGAAAATAAAGCCATATGTTTGAATAACGAAGTAAGAAGAATTTTGTCTAAATCTATTACCTTTTTTTCCAGGATTACCAAAACGATAATTATTGTTGGGAATGCCATCGGGAGGGTATATTTATCTGTTGCGAAATGTGCCCGAGAGTTTTCCACTTAAAATGTGCAGGGATCGAGTGTGAGCCAGAGGAGGATTGGGCATGCAGTGAATGCCATGCTGTAATGCAGGCAGAAAACATCGAAAACAGGTGAGTTTCCTGTGGCTCATTTCTGCTGCAGGTAGGTTTTTCTGTTTTCAGTTTTTTTTTTCCTCCATAATATGGATTATTCTTAACTGGAGAGATTTTATTATATTTGTGAACATTCCTTTATAACTTTATTGACTTGAACAAGACCAAGCTTAACGAATACGGTTATTAGCAGAACACGTGATGGCAACACATGCTTATTGGTACTGTTTTAACTCGTTAAATAAGGATTTCCTTCTTGTCTACTTGCCTCTTGTATATAGTGTGTTCTGCCTTAAATCATCCCTTGTTAAGGGGCCATCCTCATGAAGGCACATCGTGCTGTAATTGATTCCCAGTGCTATTGGTGCTGCTTCCTCATGGAGGTTGTTTAGACATGTTAAGCCACAGACAGCTACAGTGCTTCCCTCAGTAATGGAATACCCAGTGCTCATTCTGACCCCCTCCCCCCCTCCCCAGCAGTGTAGCTCTTGTGGCCATGGCACTCCGTAGATAGAGAGAACCATCCTCTAACTCATTTAAAATGTTTCCCTTGACATTATTTGAAAAAATGACAGGATTGCAGACTACATAGTCTCTCTCCTTTGCATTTTTGTGTACAGTACCAGTAGTTGTACATTTTATTTTTATTTATATTCATACCAAATAAATAGTTTTTACTTCATGTTGTGTGTATAATGACAGGTTTTTCTGAGCACAGTCCTCTTGGTTGTTTCCCTGACCCGTAGTCCTGGGTCCTCTGGGTTGCTCCCCCGAGCCATAGGCCTGCGGCTCCAAATACCCTAGCCTATCTTCCAGTTCCAAATACCCTTAGCCTACCCATTTTGGAAATCCTGGGAATTTGGAAACCTGGGAAAATATTACAGGCACATCAGAGCAAACTACATATTTTGATGGCAGAGAAAGGATGGAAAGGAGATGTGGTAGTTTTCCCACTGTCAACAAACTGTGCTAGTATCCATGCACACCACCAGATTGCAACTCGCGTTACTCAAAACCTCAACCTGCATGCCTGCTTTGCTCGCATGTCTAGTACCAACCATTCTACTACATCTCTGCAAGGATTGGTGTTACTTTCTCAGCTGAGTGGGGTTAAGGTTTCTTGGCACTTTGTTGTACCACTGAGGGGGCCATTCGTATTGTTTTTGTTCTGCCCCAATACTTTTGTCCAATGATCCCAGACATATTTACAGATCAAATGACCAGTTCCTGTTGGGTTCGGGTGGCATAATAAGCATTTTCTAATATGATTATATATGTTATGCGAGTTTATTGCTTTGTATCACTTTGTTGGTTGTTTCATGATGGTTCGCTCACCCACTCATGACAAAATGTGCATCTTTAAAAGCTAACATCTGGGTTTTTGGAGTCTGGCTGACATTTCTGTTGTCTTAGTCACACTGCCAGGTTGATTCATGGGTTTTTTCATCAATGTGTGCGCAATATTTGTTATCGCTGAACATGGGTGTTGACTGAGCTGCCCTTCAGGGTGGCGACTTATCAGGTGGTTTCTACCTTTAGTGTATTCACCTTATGGTACTGGCTTTTGCAGTCTTCAACTGTGGCTAGTGCTGTGGAAAGTAAGCATCCTCTGTTTTATGAAGAGTATTTTGGGCCTTTGGTGAGATAGACTTGTACTAAATCCTAACCTCTTCTGGTTTCTTTTACTGGAAGAGTGGTTCAGCTTATTTAGCTGGCATATACTCCTGCTGCCTCCTTAACTCCTCCTCTAACCAGGGCTCCTAAGTGGTAAATGGGTTCTTGGTTACCTTAACGATGCTTGTTTAAGCTCCGTCGTCAAAGGTGCGTTTTAGTCATGGATTTGGTGCTCATGTTGTTGTAATGATTCAGGTTCCCGATTGCATTAGTTGACTCCTTTTCCCTCTCTTACAGTTGGCCATGCTGCTGCTGTGTGACCATCTTTAGCTTGTATTACAAGGCACTCATCTTTCCTGTCTGGACCTCGAGCTACTTTTTGATTGCGTAAACTTTACTTGCATTGCTAGCTATTGTATCAGATTGCCTACATCACAGATTGTTATATCTATGATGTATCACATTTGTGACTGCAGTGCCGTCAATGCTGACGGCATTGCAATCGTCTTCTGTACAGGTTGGCATTTTTACATCATTTGGACTGCTTATTGCAGCCTTGCATCTTATGGAGGAGTTTGATTTAGCATTTTTCTCTCCTGGTCTTTTTGTTGTTTGGTTCTGTGATATTCTTTCCTGTGTTGTAATTGTTCATCGATGCATTAGATCTTGGCTAGACAATCTGACGACCACCTAACGTTTAGGGAACATAACCAAGCAAATATTGCGTTGGCCAGAAAAATGATAGGATGGATTATGAGAACTTTCAAATCCAGAGATTCCATCACATTGGTTGTACTCTTCAAATCACTTGTGCTGTCCCGTCTTGAGTACTGCTCAGTACTCACTTCCCCCTTCAGAGCAGGAGAGATTGCAGAAATAGAAGGAATACAGAGAACATATAAGTCTCCGTGGCGAAGTGGTAAAATGCTTGCCTGGCGTTCCATGAGCGCTTTGTCCTGGGTTTGTATCCTGGCCGGGGAGGATTTACTGGGCACAGAGCCTTAACTGTAGCCTCTATTTAACTCAACAGTAAAATGGGTACCTCGTAAAAACGATTCTTTGTGGGGGGTCATATTCCAGGGAACATAGGATTTAGGACTTGCCCAAAACGCTACGTGTACTAGTAATTACCTTAGTGTAGTTACAGGATGAGAGCTACGCTCGTGGTGTCCTGTCTTCCCAGCACTCTTTGTCATATAACGCTTTGAAACTAGTGGCTGTACAAGAGTGCAAGAACTCTTGTATATAAATAAAATAATATACAACACTCATAGATGCGATAAAGCACTTAAATTATTGGGATTGTTTTAAAGCTCTCCAATTGTACTCGCTAGAAAGTTGACGTGAGAGCTATCAAATACGTAATATACACGTTGAAAATACTGGAGGGCCAGGTACCAAATCTACACAGTAAAATAACAACGTACTGAGATGAACGATAGAGAAGAAAATGCAGAATAGAACCAGTGAAGAGCAGGGGTGCCATAGGCACAATCAGAGAACACTGTATAAACATCAGAGGTTCACAGTTGTTCGACATCCTCCCAGCGAGCATAAGAAATATTGCCGGAACAACCATGGCCATCTTCAAGAGAAAACTAGATCATTTTCTCCAAGGAGTGCCGGACCAGCTGGGCTGTGGTCGATGTGTGGGCCTGCGGGCTGCTTCAAACAACAGCCTAGTGGACCAAACTCTCACAAGTCAAGCCTGGCCGCAGGTCAGGCGTGGGGAGTAGAACAACTCCCAGAACCCCATCAAGCAGGTTTGTCTCCTACTCTCATGCCAGCCAGGGGTTGTGGTCTCTTTGCCTGCAGTTTGTCCACATCAGTGAGAAAGCTTGGATGGTGTTTGGTATATCCTTATCCTGCAAGGTTACACAATTCCTTTTTCACTCGGATTACACATTAGTAGTTCAACTCTCCCTCTCTTTCCCTTCCTATTGCCTTCTTTTCCTCACCCCCCTCCCTCTTCCCTCCCTCACCCTGTCTCTTATACCCCCATCCATCCTGTCCTCATCACTGTGAGAGATGAGCAGTTCATGTCAGTTTCCTGAAGGGTGTCCTTTCCATAAATGATCTCTCGCATATTTTTGCTTTTACATGTTTGTTTGCGTTAATTTTGTGTGAGTGGTACTTATTAGCAAGATGGTAACCACTTGGGAGCTCTTGGGGGGCTATGACAGTAGAATCGTTGGCTCATCAGTATTCTGTTAATGCTCTCTGGACACTTGTGTGTGTAGCAGCATACTCAGGATAACCAGTTGCCAGTGCTTTAATTTCAAGTCAAGAGTTGTACTCTGCACACAGATGAACCCACAAATTGTAAGGACGAGTATGCCGCCCTGTAACCAAGGTGATGATTTTGTCGCAGTTTATATCGTAAAGGCTCTAGTTCTCTGGTTGTCATGCCTAGATCTCTATATATACTTATTTAATATGTTTTATTGGTCATCTTTATTCCTTGACAATTCATAGCATTATGTAACTCTCATAAGATCTCTTGGGAGGGGAGGTGTTCACCTCATTTTAGTATGTCATATGTCAAGCCTTGGGATGATGTAACTTGGGGGCCAAACACTGATATACTTGTACCAAAAAGGATTCGATTGTATCGCTTTATGGCTCTCCATATTTAAGAATTTGTGCCCATTAATGCTCTGTTCTGATTACTACTGTTGGAGGACATTTGTTCCCTTGATAATTAAGTACAAAAAGTAAAATTTAATGAACTAAGCAATAAGAGAACGCACCCTGCAACCACAAAGGTAAATGCTTTGGCACTCTCAGTAAAATATTCAGAAATAATACAACTTAAACAAAGTATAAGATTTATTACTAAAAACATGAGTGTCTTTATTAACAAGTAATGCCTACTAGTCAGTCGTGCACCGAGATAGTGTATCTTGGTCAGGCAGACACCATTTACTGTTCTATCAAGATTTCAATAGCCAGTTCGTTATGCTTCTCCGGAGATTGAGTTCTATTGCGATCTGTTCTATAATTTGTACTTTTCAGTACAGCAATACTCCAAGGAGTGTGGGTGTCTGTTTACATTTCATTAGATTACTCTATCTTTTAAACCTTTGGAAATAGGGAAGAACGAGTGGTCAAGTGCGATGAAAAAGCAGACATTAGGTCATTTTTGTAAGGTTATAAGGGATTCAGGGTGTTCCTCATTAAAGTGTCATTATACAAATTATATTATGGGGAATTATGGGAAACATTCTCAATACTCTCACTCTTAGGTTCATTCGCCCTCTCATTGGAAAAGTAAATGAGAGGAAAGAAATTTGAGGAAATGCTTGTACCCTGTACTGGTTATTAACTAGTGGAATTCTCTGACAGTTGTAGTCATGGAAGCCTCTAGCATCCACAAATTTAAGAGACTTAATTCCCCCATAGTT